ACTCAAGTGAGGAAGGGGGTTCTCCCCCCTACAGAGGACCTGAGACACATGTACAATTAAAAGATCTGATCATAGACCAAAAAAAAAAAAAAAAAAAAGAAACTGAACTATATAAAGAAGAATATAGTATCAAATTTAGAGGAATTCTGACTGATGTTACATTTAATACTTTTACTGTATTTTAATTGTGTTTGTAGAAATATTATAAGGATAAGCTTTATTTCTGGTATTACAAGCTTTCTGAAAATATAGTTTTTAAACTCTGCACCCCACACAGAGCTCATCAGAATGCTTTGCATAAATTGGCAAACAGTAAATGTGTGTTGAATGTCTAGACAGATGGTTGAATAGGTGGATGATTGGTTGGATAGAGAAAAAGTTACATGGAAACATAAAAAGATGTAGAATAGATGGATGGATGGATAGAAATAGATCTACTATGTGCTAGCATCAAACTAGTTATTAATTATGCCTTCCCATTAGAGAATACCTCACAATAAAGATTTGTCTCAATTTAACAGATGGGGTCACTGAGGCACAAAAGAATTAGGAACGTGTTTGCTCATTCTCTCAAGGCCACTACATGATCTCCCAGCAAATTTGAGCACCAATCTTTTAATTTTCTCTTATTGACTGCACCTGACTAGAGTCACTACATAATATTGAGTCTCAGTCAAAATTTAAAAAAAAAAATAGTCCCTTATTCAAAAATTAAGAATTTCAAGATGTAGCTCTAAAATGAATAGAAAACATCAAGATCTCAACAATAAAGACAACTTAACCACAGAATATCCAGAGGACCTGGATAGACACTTCACCAAAAAGACACAGCTAATAAACACATGAAGAAATGCTCCACAACAACAAAATAAAGGTAAAGAACCCAATCTCAAATTAAGCAGAGGATATTGACAGACACTTCACCAAAGAAGATATTCAGATGGCAAACAAAACATAGGAAGAAATGTTCAAAATGCCTAGCTCTAAAAAAAAATAAAAAATTAAAAAAAAAATTTAATAATAATAAAAAAAATGACTAGCTCTCTTAGAGCTAGATATAAATCAAAACAACTATGAGATATCATCTCACCCCAGTAACAATGACAAAATTCAACAGAGCAGCAAACAACAAATGCTGGTGAGGTCATGCAGAAGCTACAACTTTTATTCACTGTTGGTGGGAACACCACTCTGGAAGGCAGTATGCACTTTCTCAAAAAGTTGAAAATAGAAATACCATTTGACCCAGCAATTCCACTACTAGGAATATACCCTAAAGAAATCAGAATTGCCACCCAAACACATATATGCACATTCATGTTTATTGCTGCATTGTTCACAATAGCAAAAGAGATGGAAACAACCCAAATGTCCATGAACAAACAACGGATAAAGATGTGGTATATTCACACAACGGAATATTATGCAGCACTGAAAAACAATGAACTCATGAAATATTATTCAGAATGTTTGACCCTGGAGGACATTATGCTTAGTGAAATATCTCAGTGACAAAAGGATAAATACTGCATAATGCCACTGTTATAAAACAGGACTGATATGGGGATTGGGAGGAAACTAAGAAAATAGGGGCAAACTAATGCACACTGCATTGAAACAGATCGGAAATAGAACTGCTTAAAAAGAATATATGACTAGGTACTATTTTCATGACAATAGTCCAGAATAAGAGCTGCATAGTAAAGTGGACTGGGGGTGGGGAAGGATTGTACAACAATGAAAGAATTTTTTTTTTCTTTTTCTCAAAGAGAAAAGTGAATTGGAGAAAACAAGGAGGAATATATGTAAAAATGAATTAATGAAAATTCTAGTTCTCTTTATACTTTCATTAAAATCACAAAAAAAGAGAAAAGGAATTTTGTTTTAGTTATTTTAAACTTTCTGTGTATGAGATATGCAGATGGGAATGTAAGATAGACCATGGTGTATATAAAGATCTAAGTGTCTTATGATTATATTTGTGAAAATTAGAGTTAAAGTTTTTTTACTAAATAACTGCTACCTTCTATTTATGAATGCTTAAATAAGAAAACAATATTTGTCAGTAAATAAGGATAAAATTTTATGACAAAATGATAAGTATTTTTAATATTTATGAGTAAAAAAAGAGAAATGCTCAAGATCACTAACCACTAGATACATGCAAATTAAAACAACACTGGGAAAGTATCACATTCCAGTAAAAAAGAGCAATGTCATGATGATCCTGGAGGAGACAGAGTGCTGGGAGGAAGTGGTGAGGGGTGATCAGCAGGACTGGTTCCAGCCTCCTCAGTCATTGACCCCAGTCTTCACCAAGCCATTCATCTCATCATCATCACTGTCTACCAGGAGGTTGTGAAACCAGCCAGGGCTCTCCCCAGCTCAGCTTCGACATACTTCATAAAGTCTGAGCGTTAAAAAAAAAAAAGAATCACGGCCGCCCCCTCGCCCGTCACACACCGCACGTTCGTGGGGAGCCTGGTGCTAAACCATTAGTAGCCGACCTGCTTCTGGGTCGGGGTTTCGTACGTAGCAGAGCAGCTCCCTCGCTGCGATCTGTTGAAAGTCAGCCCTTGACACAAGGGTTTGTTATAAAAAAAAAAATAAAAAAGAGGAGAAAAACGGGGGGCGGGGGGGAAGAATCAATGTCAATAAAACACCAAACAACAAACTCTAATAAGGGTGTGGAGGGATTGAAACTCTCATACGCTACTGGTAGGTATGTAAAATGGTATAACCGCTACAGAAAGCAGTTTAGTGCTTCCTTAGAAAGATGAGAACAGAAATGCTATAGGAGTCAGCAATCTCACCACTAGATATATTTTTTTTTAATTTTAAAAAAGAACTACAACACAAACTAACATGCTCACACTCTTGTCTGTTGCAGCACTCATGTTACTATAGCAAAGAGTTGGAAAGAACCCAAATGTTTATCAAAAGGCCAATGGCTAAAGAAACTGTGGTACATTATACAATAAAGTATTATGAATCACTAAAAGCCAAACGAGAATTTGTGAAATATTGCATTACATGAATGAATCTGTAACAAATTATGCTGAGTGACATAAATCCGTCACCAAATCAAAATTATAGTATAAAATCACTAATGCAATAGATATGATTATAAAAAAGCTAAGGAAAGGCTTCTACTCAGGTAGTATCAATCTTAGGGAGTTAACAGGGATGAGAAGAGAGAGAAAGGAGAGCAAAAATTAATACATATGTTCGGTGAAAAGAAAGCAGTATACAAAAGGGTTTGATAAGACATTTTAATTACGTTGTTGTTGTGTGCTGTGGAGTTGGAACTGACTCATAGCTGACCTTCAGAGTCATTAAATCGCCTGGGAGGAGATTGCCATCTTTCTACCATGGAGCAGCTGGTGGATTCAAATCACTTGCCTTTGGGATTGCATCACAAGTTATTACCACTAGGTAATTAATGAATTATAATTAATGTTATAAAAGAAAATGTGTGTGAATAATTTAATGAAAATCAATATGATTAGTAAACTTCCACTCAAAGAAACAATAATCTCAAGGCATGGCAAGGGCAGAGAATTAAACCAAGTGTTGTGTCAAGTTGAGTAAAACTCCTAACGACCTTGCACCCTGCTCTATTTCTGTGCCATTCTGGTCATCGCTAACAAACTAGAGCCCATTGTTGAAGTTTCTTTGTTAATCAGTCTTGTTGAAGGTCTTCCTCTCCTTTGAAGACTCTCTATCTTTCCAAGTACTATGCCCCTTTCCAAAGAATAGTCTCCACTAGCTACATGTCCAAAGTATAAGAGATAAGGCTTTGCCATCTTTGCCTACAAAGAGCACTGTGGCTGCAGTTTTGTCAAGACATAGCCATCTGGTTTTTTGGAAATCCATAGGATAGTCAGTATTCTTCTCCAGCACCACAACTCAAAGGCATTCAAATTGTCTTGTGTCATCCTTATTCTTTGCACAGCTCTCTGATAAGTAGCAAGTAACTGAGAAGACCATGGCCTGAATCAGGTATACCTTAGTCAAACAGACATCATTGCTCTTCAATATTTTGTAGAGATCCCTGAAAGCAAACTTGTCCAATACACAGCCTAATTTCCTAAGTGCTAGTACAAGAGAATTGATTGTATATCCAAGCAAGATGAAATCATTAACAGCTTCAATCCTCTCTTCATTTATCATAATGTTGACTGTTGGTGAGGAATTTTTCTTTCTTGATGTTGAGTTGGAACTCATACTGAAGACTGTAGTCCTTGATCTTCTCTATCAAACATTCAGATCCTTACTTTCATCAGGCAAGGTTGTGTCATCTGCATAACACAAGTTTTTGATGAGTCTTCCTCTGATTCTGATGCCACATTGCTCTTCATAGAGTCAAGCTTCACAAATTATATATTCAGCATATTATCCCTTCCTGATTTTATAGCATGTCATATTTCCTTGCTCCATTCAGACAACAGCTTCTTGGTATAGGTTTCCTCATAAGCACAATTAAGTATTCCAGTATTCCCAGTCTTCTTGTTAGCCTTAATTTGTTATGATCCAGTCAAATGGCTTTGCATAGTCCTAGACACTGCAGCTCCAGCTCCTAACTCCATTATTGCTATTGTTGTTGTTGTTGTATACAGTCAAATTGGAAGTGACCCATCGCTGACAGAGAGTAGGCTGCCCATCCCTTCTCTCATGGTGCAGCAGGTGGATTCAAACCCTGTGCCTTCAAGATTGCAGTGCAGTTTCTTACCACTAGGCCACCAGAGCTCCATGGAACCTCTAAGTTCCTACATTCAGAATTCTTCCAACTTATCTCTCAGAGGCAAGAGCAGATCAGCCTCATCTTATCTACAGATAAGAAATTTGAACCTTGTCTGGATGCTTCTGGTAAATTAGACACACCTTTGAAAATAGGATAATAATAGTAGGATAATTGATGCCTTTGAGCTGTGGTGCTGGAGAAGAGTATTCAGTGTACCCTGGACTGCCAAGAAAACAAACAGATTCATCCTGGAGAGGGTTAAACCAGGCTGCTCCTTGTAGGCAAGGATTCTGAGGCTTCGTCTGACATACTTTGGACATGTTGTAAGAAGGGCGAGGTCCTTGGAGAGGGACATCATGCTTGGGAGGGTGGAGGGAAAGTGCAGGAGAGGAAGGCCCTCTATGAGGTGGATTGATTCAGTGACTGGGGTAATCGGGATGGGTGTGTCGGAGGCAGTGAGATTGGCACAGGATAGAGAAGGGTTTAGGGCTGTTGTACATAGGGTCGCTATGAGTCGCAAGCAAAACGAGGGCACATAACAACAACGACAACAATGTCTCATGGACAAAGAATGCCTTACAGTATAATTCT